TTACGGGGTGGCGAAGGCCATTTTGGCTTCCCCCAAAAGGTAAATTTAGTGATTTTTTCTTTTCTTTTCATACGAATGTTGAATGAAAGATAATTACATTCGTGTTTGTGTGTAAAGCTAAATTAATAATTTGTTAACGTACGGCATAAGCATGTAAGTATGAACACTTGACACGTGTATATATCCTTTCCTTTAGGAAAAATGTTAAAAGTATGATTTTGATTCCCCTAAAAGGGCTGTTGGGTAACGAGCAGTGAAACTGCAGTCAAAGACTGCAAGTATAAATTCCTCATGCAATGTCTGTATTATTTTCGTACAGCAAATGACTGGAACGAATAGATTGTTTTAACATCCTTTACCATTCTGCCACTTTGAGGCAAATTGCATACTGTGCTATCGGTTTCGACCGAGAGGGTCATTCCCGAGGATAATTCCTCAAAAGCATCATTATAACTATCATGATCTATAATTACCGATTTTATTATAATTATTGTTACCGTACTATTATTATAATGATTATTTCAGCTATTATTATTTGCATTATTAATACAACTGTTTTTACCATTACTATCATAGATATTTAATCTTGATATTTATTATTGCTATTGTGATCATATTATCATGATCAGACATGATCAGTCCCTGTCGGCAACTTTCAATATCATGTATCTATAATATGAAAATGAACTGCAGCAGTTTGCCTTGAGTTCAGAATATACTTTTTGTATTGAAATGCTATTCTATTACGTTGGTATTCGTTCTTTGGTGAGAGAGAGAGAGAGAGAGAGAGAGAGAGAGAGTGTGTGTGTGTGTGTGTGTGTGTGTGTGTGTGTGTGTGTGTGTGTGTGTGTGTGTGTGTGTCAGCGAGCGAGAGAGAGAGGACAGAAATGCAGACAGCTAGGCAAGAAGACAGACAAAGTAAAGTAGAGGGTAGGTACACAGATCCAGATCCAGACAGAAGAATAGACAGAATGGCTGAGAGAAAAAAAAGAAAAGAGAGAACAAGAATGAAGGGCGGTTCCTATAAATAGAAATTGCTTTCTCCTTTCATTTACATGTCCTTGCGGTGTTGTGGTTAACACGACTGACTTTGAATCAGAATATCCCGGGTTCGATTCCCGACGGGGACAAGGAGTAAAATCTTTTTTTCTTTGATTTACATGTAATTCGCTTTTTTCACATCAATATTCATTAACGTTTCATATCGATACCATGATTAGGAAAGTAATTCTGATAGAATTGTTGATGTTATCATTCCCTTCCTTTTTAAACTATGATCAATTATTATTCATCGTTATTTTTCTTACTCATATAGTTATCGAACCACTATTGTCTCATTATCATTATCTTTTCTTATTTGACCTGAGGTATACACAGTGGCTCAAGGAAGACTTTTTGCCTTTTTATTTAGTCGCTTTTTACTTTTTATTAAAGCTGGAAACTGCTGTACTTCGTGAGTGAGATCGAAAGGGAGATTCAGAGGCATTTCTCTAATCCCTTTACTTCCACAATATCATGATTCTTAGCAAAGAAAAGACGCCTTTGAAAAACATCAGAGATACTTATCAAATTTATATAAAAGTGACCGAGGTCCAAATTACACTCATCATCAGTATTATTATCATTATTATCAGTCCGATCATTTATAATTGTTATTGCTATTTCTTTCACCATTATTGTCACTATCATCATTATCGCTACTATTCCTATTTTGGTTCTGATTATTTGACATTATTACTATTGTTATTGTTATTGCTATTACCATTATTAAATTATTATTACTGTTTGTATGATGTTCATTATTACTATCACCACCACCATTATTATGATAATTATTTTTGCTGTTATTATTGGCATTACTAATACAACTGTTTTTTTTATCATTACTGTCATTATATCTACTCTCAGGATTATTATTATTGCTGTTGCGATCATTATTATCATGATCAGACATGATCAATTTATAGAAAAAACTATTTTTTTCTCTAAGATGACCTAAGGTTTACGCATTTAGTCTCAAAAGGAGGCAGCTTGTGTGACATCTGTTTTTGAACTTGATGTTGTCTTTGTAAACGAGACATCCAGATGCCAGTCAAGTTTTTTTTTCTTCTTTCTTTCTTCAGGTCGCTTTATTAGTACTATCATTAATGTTTATTTTTGACATTGTCATCATAACTATTTGGTCATAATTATCATGATCAGAAATGATAAATTCATATGGTCAAAACGCAACTTTTGGGGAATATCTTTAGATTTATTCATGCTTTAGCTTTTGGCAATGCTGGAAACTGCTGCCGTGATTAATAAGACAGAGAGAGACAGGAGACGGAGAAGAGTTTAAAGCGAGAGGGAGAAGCATTGATAACATTTCTTTCGCTTCTCTCGTTAAGTTCCTGCGGCGTCGTGGCGACTGACTCCGAATCAGGAGATCTCGGGTTCGATTCCCGACGAGAATTTTTTTTTTTTTTTTTTTTTTTTACTTTCTTTGATTTTCGTGTACCTCGTTTTCTTATGTCAATATTTATTAGGACGTTCCTTATCAATAGCGCAATTAGAGTCGTAGTTAACATACCAGAAACGTTGATGTTTTTTCCTTTCTTATATAGCGTTCACTCCTTCACCGTCATCACAGTTATCATTATCATTGGTATCATTATCACTATTATCATCATCTTTAT